TTAATATCCTTATTTAATTATGTTTTATTCTTATGTATCCGCGATTCACATTCGCCGTAAAAACATTTACGGCGTAAATGTATTATTATCTGACTCGTATTAGTCTGTACTATCACGAAATGTTGTTCGGCTCTATTCCTATCAGCGTGTAAGGCTAATTATAATCCCGAGTCACTTTACGATAATATAATTAGTACCTGAATATTAAGTGCTCTGGGTATGTAATGAGCGATATTAGACGGTAATTTAATTATTCCTACTTTCTCATACCTTGCTATGTGTCGAAATTAATCGTTAACGCACGATATGTGCCGTACCATCTCCTCGCCGCAGTGATTTTAATCAATGAGAAACGTAGAGAGTGTGTCTCGCAAAGGTGTTTGCCGACTGTAAGAAAGTAGTAATGTAGATTATATAGAGAACTCGTAGTTGAATTTGTCATAGTTTGGGCAGTGTTATTACATAAGGAAGTCTACAGAGAATAGAATTTCCTACGTGTATGTATACAATGAAATCCAACTAAATTAATACGCACCGCCGTATTGATTCAATTTTCTGGAAAGTGGAACAATATCAGATTCATGAAACGAACAATTTTCAATTCATGTGACGTCTTGATTGGGAAATATCAGAATCAATCAGACGTACTCCCTTCAGCTTATACCTGTTTCCTTTTTTTCTTTTTAGGCGTTTCCATTGGCCCGTATATTAATCACGATTTTTTTTCTTTCGAATTGACTACGTGATATAAATTAGGAAGTTAAAGCTGTTAGAGCAGGTGCACACGATGTACGGGGCCAAAATTAGGTTCCCCAGACGTAATTTATATTGTTTAACGATCAGATAAATGAAGAGCTAAATTGTTCGCCATTTCCATTTTTCATATCTAAATAACTATACTTGCTCTATTACATATACAATTGTATTACCATGTCGTTATCCAAAATAATATTTAAAAAAAAAATATTAAACATAATTATTAAAAATAACACAAAAAATACTTCACGTGGACTTTCTATATAGATGTTCCACAAATAGAGTTAAAAAATTGTGTGCCCCTGCGTTAGAACAAAACTGTTTTTACTACATGTAATTATCGACGCATGTCGAGCGGCGAATTTGTTAGATCATAAAAATTGTAGTTTATAATGTTACAGAGTATCTCTTAGTCGCGTTGAACAAAGGTATTCGAGTTTCTTTAAATCAACATATGTAAGGATAAACGTTACCATTCTTAACGATCGTTACGAGACCTTTTTAATATAAAAAAAAAATATATATATATATATATACACATTAACTTTTGATGTGATGAATTGTTTATATACTGCCAATTTTTATAGGATATAATCGAGTCTCAATTTTCGATTGAACGCACGTGGACAAATCGTAATTTTACGAATTCACAGACGAAATGAATGTCTTCATGTTTATTGGGACATTTGTAAACGATAGGCATTTTTTTCCTAAACTAGTCTCTCGCAATCATTAAGTCAGGATTGTTAACGCGCGAATTTACACAGTAGACACAAATAGTACACCTCGGAATGTAAACAATGTTGGTAGAGTTTATGGAATTCGCTTATGTCGCCATATTATATTGCCAATAATATTTCATTACACAAGACAAAAAATTGTTTACAGAATCTTTATAGTTAATTACGATATAATTATTTTCATTTCTTTTACTATAATTTGATTGTTCAAGAATATTTTTAATAGAGACTTATTTCTATCGCAATTATATGAAACATAAAATTTTGATCAGTAATAAATTTTATAAAAGCAAGCAATATTGGAAACAAAAATAATCTTTTTCCAAGAAGTTTTTCGTTTTATATCAATATATAAACACATATGTTTTCATTTAACGAGGTGCATTAAAGGGAAACAAAAGGGTAAATTTAAAAGTTATGCATTTTTATGAATTTATTACTGTCAAAATTAATGAAATCATTACGGCAATGATGCTGGTAGTAATAAATTCACAAATTGGACTAATTATAATTACTTTTTTATGTCTATATCATGATATACTTTGTACGATACATCTTGCTCGCGTAATATATTATACAAAAACGTATGTTTTTCACATGAAATCTATTATTAAAATCTAATAATATATAATTTGTATACTGCTTTATTCGTAAATTGTTGTTTATATTAAAGATTATAATTTTCAAGATGATGTTTTAGAATTAATCGTGTGTGTGTGTGTCTACAAAATAGGTGCACGAAGAATTAAATGTGCCTCACAATGATTTTGTATGGTATTTAAAATTTTTTTTAATCTTACATCCAAATTATTTTGAGAAAGATTTGTAGCGAGTTTTTCTAGCTAGATCAAAATCCGAGCTTGGAGGTATTTGCACAATCACGTTGCGTTTACGATGAAAATATCTTACAATTAGTCGGAAATATCATGAAATTGTAATGGATGTTCTCGAGGAACCTGTGGTAATCACGTTAATCATAATATAACAGCTTTGTCGTCAATCGATTCTTAGAAATCGCGTAACTCCGTTGCCTTGTAAATATACCTAAAGCAAGGTTCCCTTATTGCAACACGTTGAACATTTTGTAAAGTTTTATAAATAGTTCTACGTAGTTAAACAGCTGGACCAATAAAGTATATATCCAATTGTACGTTATTTCTATATGTATGTATTCACACCCTATTCAGTCGTAATATCCGATAGTTTTATCGAAATTTGAAGACAATTATCACAGATAAGATGCAGTGATCATTAATTAACAATGAAAATGCAGCTTTTTTACATACACAGTAATATATAACATATCTATTTAATTTCTAATAATTCTAGCTTATAACTACTAATATGATATACTTCAATCATTACTTTTGACATTGATCTCATCTCTGTGTATACTTCTTCAAATTAAATCATACAGTTAATATAGTTTACGATTTGCTACACAAGTAAAAGTTATCGCAAAATTATTATAGAAGATAATAAACGCCGAGAATAAACGCAAAGTCAGAATGAACATAAAAAATACACCATGTAATTTAAATAATTCCATTATTTATTTAAATTATAAGTATATTTACTCCATCACAAGAATTATTCTATGTAATATTTCACAGTATTGCGAGGATATTTTCCTCTTTCGGAAAACGATACATGATAACACGGTAAATATAAAGAAAAATTCAGTAGAGTAAAAATGTCTGAGAATATACAAAGAGGAATAATGCGTGAGATCCTTTAATAACTAATAATCAATTTCTTTATGCTATAATACAATATAAACATACAGCTCAGTTCCAGAATTTGTGAATGAAAACTTGAAGTGACAACAGAGCCCGAATTTATTCCTGATCATATCATTACAGAAAATTCGGTTCTCAATACGGTGCTGATGAGTAAAATTATGCGTTTTATTCCGCATTCGTTGTACTTTAAATAAAAAAAGAAAAGGGTATAATGAAGTAACGTTATCACGTTGACTATTGACCTTAAATAAATCACGGTAACTAAAAGCTAGCATGATTTTCACACTTGAGTTTACAGGCACGTACTTTCATAGTACCGGATACAATCGTGGTGACCAACCGATTTTTACATAAAAAATTTATAGACGTTCAAAAACGGACAAATATCTGCGATCTCTGTATCTAATTGCGAATGGACCCTTGTTTTGGGGTTGTACTTGTTGCTACGTAACAATATTAATCCGACTCGTTAATGTTCTTGCGTAACAATGTAATATCTTAAAATTTGCTTGTTAATACATTAATATGTTTAAGTACATTCACAAATGTGGTTCCACGACGAACTTCCGTTAAATTTACAATAAAAGTAACATGCTCGTCACTCGCAAATTTCTATCACTGCAAGAGGAGCATGTTTTCGAGACACGTAAGTTTCGCATAGAGAACTTTCGCTCTGCCTTTCAATACTAATATTAGTACTATCCTTCTCACATTTATACATATTATGGCATTTTTGTAAGTGTAAATAAAAAAATAGCTGATGTTTTGTTTTTTTAGAGTAATAAATTAATATTTTGAAGATTGTATAAAATATTAAATTTAACTAAATTTATATCACTTAATAACCAAGGCTCATAAACAATTTATCATAAATTGAATAATTATTATTCTTATGTACATATAATTGATAGGGTTCGCGAAAAATTTTACAAATAAATATCTTCAATTTATACGAAATGATCTTTTCTCAACTTTAATGCAGAAATTTAAAAATAATACAAATAAAATTACAAAAATATAAAAATATGCGGTATGTGTGCGTGTGTACTGTATAACGATAAAACAATTAAGAAAGTAATACATATACATAAAAAATCAGATATGGCAATTGTGCTATAAATAACTTTACTCCATGTCATAATTATATAATTATAATTTAAACAATTTCCGAAAATCTCTAAAAAAATTGTGCACGCCTTCAAAATTAATTTTATTTCAAACAACGTTTAATTACAAGCCTTGATTATAGATTAGCAGTCTCGAATAGAGAAATAAACCCTTTCAATTTAGTAGATAAGTAAATATATAATATCTTGGGTAAACTTACACTATATTTGAGTATTTTTCGAATATAAATAATAATCAAATACAGGAATTGAAACCGGTATCATTCCATCGAGTTTGAGTAAGTGATATTGATCCCTATGTGTTATTTGCGACGTGTAAATATAACAATCGATACAAGGATCTTTTCCAAATATTAGGAACTTGGTCGGTCCAGGCATTACTCTGAGATTCGATAATTTGAAATATTCTACACTAGACGATTCGCACATAAGTACACATTTCCGTTTTGCTGTTTTCTGACTGTGACTTAGCGCGAGACACAATTATGTGTCTCTTAATATCTATAATAAAAGAGATTCATCGAAATTATACCCGTTTCATTTCTTGTTTGAGACAATTGTAAATTTTGTAATATGTGTTTGCTGCGCTGTGTATGTGTGTGTGTGTATATATGTATATATATATATATACATATATACACATATGCACATATATGTAACGCATTATTACGTACGTATCATACATAATATGGCGTTTGTACATTGTGCAAATAATCGAACACTTACGTTGAACTGTTGTACAGGGCATATCGCAATGCATATAGAATTAAGATACGCAGAAAGTATATAAGAACACTCGCTGTTCGTATCTCTCTTTCTTTCCGCCGTCCTCGCGTTACGGCGATCAAGTATAACGAAATTGTTCTATTAGACGTTTAATTCAATAGGCTTTCACTGCTAGGCCGTGGTTTAGTAACCAGACTATATAAGGCTCGTATTCCGTTCTCCGTTAGATCCGGAGGCCCGAACAAAAAATCTCGTCGAGCATTCGGATTCGACAGCAGGTCCCGCATGCTCTCAGTCGTAAGCACCCAAGAGCGTAATGAGGTTTGCGTTAAATTTACTTTCCTAGCCAGTGTCCCGGTAATGTGAACGTCGTCGATCCAAAAGTACGGCTCTTTCTGAGCCTCGCGGTACAGTATAAATACACTATCGGGAGAGTATAGGATCGCCCATCCCGCACAATATGCGGGATAAAGTCTACCGGGATACTCCTGAGGAGAGACGCGCCATTTTGAACGCCAAGATCTCTTCACTGCGGAAGCCGACAAAAGATCACAGAGAATCAGACGTCTTGCACCCCACGGCGAAAGGCCATGCGTTAGAAAGTCCAGCATGGCCGGTAAATGAACAAAAACGTCATCGTCTAATTTAAGAATATATTTGGCACCTGAAACAAAAAACAATGACATCAAAATCAGATATAAATATTATACTCTTGTAATTTTAATGAAAATATAAAAAGTAAAAGATAAAGACTGTATGCTCTTTATAAGAAAAAAAAAATCGCACACGCGATCCAATCAATATTAAATCTATTCAATCAAATATCAATTATTATCAGCTATTATCATTATAATATCTGATATGAAATACAAAAAAAAATGAGATGATCGCAAATCAAAAATAAATAAAATTAAGTTATAAAACGGTGGACATCATATTATGGTTTGCTTCTTACTTGGACAATAATAAGTAGCCCACTTTAATCCCATAACGTGCTTGTAGGTCATGTTTCTGTAGGCATCAAGAAAGTTTCCCTGTATTAAATCTTGGTATTTCTCGTTCTCCTTCTCGAGCTTGGATTGATATTTCTTCGAGTATCCCACGAGAAATAATAAAGTCACGTCCGGCGCTTGTTGACCCCAGGTCTCCCGCACGACATGCCTCTTCGGGAAATTCCCTGGCGCCGAGTGAACCAACATTAATAGCAATGGCTGCGTACGATTACAGGGATTGTGGTTCATAATGAACCTAAAGTCCGTGATGTTGATCAGCGTGGATTTATCATCGGACGGAAGTTCGTTTATTGAGTAGGGCTGCGTGGAAGGTGTGACGTTTCCGGGAAATATAAGGATATATCCTGGCGCGGCCACACCGCCGCTGGAGTAAGGAATCGGCGATCCTGAACCATCGATGTGAATCCAAAACGAGAAGCATCCAGTTAGTGCCAAAACGACCACAAAGATGAGGGTGCATGGCGAAGTACCGGAGGCATGTAGCCGCCGCTTATCCAGCATACTAATAAGCCCCTTTCATCATATACATCTACCTGAAAACACGAATGCTCGATTAGGTAACTTGTTCTCACCTTTACAGATTATTACTCGTCTCATAAATCCTGTGCGTTCCAGGTATCTCATGGTCCTCATGGACATCCTTATTGCAAATTGTACCAGTTTTATAGAATATACACTAGAATATACCTTTTTACAATTCACAAAGAGAAACAAAGTAACCAATAAAAGCTTGTTAAGAGCTTATTAAGAGCCAACAAGAATTCCTAGTTGTTACGCAAAGTATACGTTATTAGTGAAAAGTTATGTAATTCACAATTACATGCAAAAACGCAAACGTTTCGACTTATGCGTTCTAGTCTTCCTAAGTGCAAACTGACCGCGAGAAGATTCTGAACGTTGGTGTCATTTCATAAAATATAATCTGTATATTTATAAAAAAAAGATATAAACTAAAGTATCCAGTCACTAAAGTAAAATAATACACACAAGTTATGATTACTGAGAAAACGCACAGTACATATAAAATTCTATGAAGCCAGATAGTAACAAAATGGCCCAGAACGTCACTGTTCAGAAATAAAATAGACAATGATAAAGGAAAATTATAGTGGTCAGAAAAGTGATCAGTAATTGACATACGATAAAAAAACGAACCATTAGAGAGTAAACAATAAGTATGACTAATTGTAAAAAAACAGCAGTAAGAATGTTTTTCTAATTTTTACATATTATAATGTTATGAGAATTTCATAAATTTTTATTTTAGAAAGCGCTATACAATTTTTGATCGTAATATATATATATATTTACAATATAAATAAATTTATTTACAATATAAATAATATCAATTCTTTTCGCTCGTATAATTTACAACAAATTAATAAATAGTAAAACCCAGATCAATACATTAAACGAGCTATAATTAGGTATACTAAATAATATTTATTAATCATGAATAATAATTTTTCGACGATAAGTTTCAACGGATTTTTATCAAGTTTGACTACATATAATATGGTTGCGATATACCTTTGTAACACAAAGATGAGATGATTCTTAGAAATCTGTTATATTATTTATTGTAACTCGAATGTGAGATGATCCTCATAATATGTTAATATAATTAGATATTTGGATATTTATGTATTTTTGCGGCTGATGAGAACTAAGTATAGTCGAAACGTATCGCCGTTGAAACTTATCGTCGGAAAATTATAATTTGTGATTAATAAATATTATTTAGTACACCTAACTATAGCTCGTTTAATGTATTGACCTGGGTTTTACTATTTATTAATTTATATATATTTATATGTACGTACATATATAAATTATATAATAAAATATTTAATTAGATATTAATTATATATTTATTAATTATACAGGATGTCCATTTTAATTCTATAGATAGATATCTTGAAGAATGTGCAAAATACTGAAAAACGTTTCAGACAAAAGTTGTTGGTATGCAAAGTATATGTTTATTAGTGAAAAGTTATGCAATTCATGCAATTACATGCAAAAAGGCGCCCAAGAAGGTGCAAATAACGAAATTAATTTTTGAAAAGAAAAATAATTTTTCAAGGTTTATATGAAAGTTATCCCCATTTTTTAATGGACTTATATGACTTTTTTTTCATAATATGATTCCTCTAATTATATAGATCATTGGAGCCCAGTTCCTTAATCTATATATAATATGTATTTACCTTATAATTTTGTAAAAGTAACTTGGATCATTATTTGCTTCTTGTTGAACATTTTTTTGTTTACGAAAAAGAAGAAAACATATATTTAATCATATTAGGTACACACGTGCTCAATATGATCTAAATACTATTTTTTCTAAAATCTTCACTGCACTCATGTAAATACTTGTAAATGTCTCATAATTTTTTTTAAGTTCAAAAATTTATTTTTTTTCTTTTAAAATTGACTATATCAATTTTCAATTTTAGGGTCATATTTCAGCAAAAAAATTAGAAAAATATCACAATATTTAGATAGATCATATAAAGTCTGGTTACCTTATATCAATTTCACACGCATATCCAAGAAAAGAACGAGCTTAAAAAATTTTATAAGCAATAATAATTCCACTTGCTCGAAGTTATGTGTGTGTATGTGTGTTGTGTATGAAATCGTAAAGTTAAAAAGTATTAAGTAATGCTGTTCGCAAGAAGTTTCCCACACGAATCAATTGCTAAACCACGAAGAGTCGCAGACGAGAACATAACGTATAACTAGCTATCGACACCGATAAATCTTTCAGAGAAGACGATTTTAAGAGTCTGATTCAATGATTTATCTCGAGATCATTTAGATTTTTATCATCTGACAAGTATCATTTTATCGTAAACAAATTTAGTACACAGACTAAAAGCAAATATATGTACGTGCAAACGTTACAACATACTAATTCAGTACACACTTCTCTTTACACACTTCAGACTGTTCATGTTCAATAAATAACGATATACTTGGTACTTCAAAATAATAATTTTATAAGTATTTGGATAAGATGATGGTAAAATAGACAACGAAATATAAGAATTTTAAAAATTTACTTAGAAGAAAAAGTATAAAAACAATGACACATTTTGTTAAATTATTACGAATCGGAAAACTTAAATATTTACGAAAGCTATAGCATCTGCATATAACGTCTATGCAGAAATGCTTTAACGTTGCTTGATAATGTCTGCGTAAGCTTAAGATTGAAATTACGTTATATAAAATACACATTTTTGTCAAGTATGCAGTAAACGATTAAAATATTTGTATTTTATTTATAAAATAAAAAATGTCTAAAGATGCTGTTTATTACTAAAGTTATAGAACTAGAATAATTCGAAAAAAATCTCAATATATGCTCGATAAAATTAATATAATAAAATTACGCATACCCTTTGGTATGCCCTTTAAATTATATACATAGGGAGTTCGCTTAAGTTAAATTATAAAATCGAATTAAATTGTAAAACTAATTTTCCTCGAAAACCGCGAACGAACTCTCACAACAATATTCGTATAAATTGCAAAAGTGACTCTGGGAAAATCGATAAAAGTTTCCTTTTAACAAGACAGGACAACATAACAATGGTATATTCGTAGACTTACGAGAGAACTAATTCCGAGTGCAAACACGCGACAACTGTTATTCAGCTTTTCTGTTAGCTCCTGCAATCTACCAGTATGGATGGCAATCTTATCCCACTCAATTTAAACACGGAATATGATATTTGACAACGATGAATTAATCATAACTCCAAATATATTTTTTTATCCAAAAATTAAAAATTCCTTCTTAAAAAGGACTTCTGATAACGAGATAAAAAATATTTTTAGTGTACGTGTAATCTTACCACAACTTTACACAATAAAAAACAATATTAAAAATAGATTAATAATTTCGATTTTTCTTCTTCAAACTAAATAAGATTGAGACAAAAGTAACGCATACAAATTTAAGTCTACATATTCTTAGAACAAATCTTTATCTGATGTTATAACGCGCGATGCTGCTGCCACAACATTTGGCACGAAACCAAGATGATTTTATTCTAGATTTGAGAATTTTCCATTTAAAATATTCCTGTGTTAATAATAAATATAAATCTTATTTTATGATAGATAAAAGAATAGTAGCACTGAATCTCTTCTCTGGAAATCATTTCTATATAGATGTAGCAATGAACTATGTACTAATGTACTGAATTTATCATTTATCCAACATTATGACACTAAACATTAAAAATTTACATTGCAACAATTTTCGAATGCATCAGTCGAATATTATGCACAGTTATTTTTATATCGTCTCGTTTATTATTTCTCCATTTTCTTATTACTATAAAAAAAGTATCTTTGATAGACATTATATATTCTGCAGTCTATAAACTATATAGACTATTTTTCATTCTTGTTAAAGTTAATAAAAATTATATTTAAATGAGATGATATATATGGAGTTTTGAGTTTTTGTAATGTTTGATGATAAACATGTAGCACGAGTTGTGATGAAACGTGACATGCATCGTACTGCACAACTATAATTTCGAAGCAACTTGTACTACATATATATTTTTCAGTTGTACGTCAAGGACAGAAGAAGTTCATGAACGAATAGCGACGGTCGATTAGCACGTGATGAATTCATTATTTCACATCGTTGTAAGTAGCGTATTGGTGTCTATTAGAACGCCGGCGTGTTATTAAGACTAAAAAGTAGTTAGATCGATTTGTTGTTTGACTGTAGTCAAGGCCGGTATGAACTTGGTATGTCAATCCAAGACCGTTAAACATCATTTGTAGATAAATTTTTCAATTTCAATGGTGAAACAAGGCTCTAATACGTTGCTTTTGTATATATGTGTTGATATATGTGCTGTATGTTCCATCATCTTATTACGTAGATACAGTTCTATATTGGAAGAGAATTAAGCCCCAGCCAATAGACTGAAAACACTTTAAAGTATCTATTTCTAACTTCCTCCGTCTTCTCACGTAAGCGAAATCGAATATCAAGAACGTGCACTAGGATGCTAATGCCTGAGGGATGTCGACTGTATAATATCAGATCAATATCGATCAATATCGATATGTTTGTTGCGTTGTTACGTTTCCTAAGCAGATGTACGGCAATCTGCATAAGCTATGAGCAAGAAGCCTCGTGTTTAATCGAGATAATCCATTTCATACGGCTCGCATTGCTGTAATGTATAGGCACAACATGCAATATCAAAGATAGAACATTTCGCTTGAAAAGCACGGGCTACTATCGCAAAAGCTCGCGCTTTTATAATTATCTTCTTATCCGCGAAAACGGACAGATCATCGCGTTAATCTTTATTCGAAATAAATAAGAGATAAAGATTTAATTCATTCCATAAAAATTTAATGTATAATAAACGTAACAAAATTAATTCGGACATATTATCTTGCTTTTTTTTCTGCCCACCCGATTCTACCTATCTGAAACTCGATGCCACGTAAGATAACAAAAAGATACGATAATCACTGATTTGAATTGTGTAAATTTATCTTATTTGCATTGAAAAAGTCTGCACAATTAATTGCATGGTTAATTGCAACTTTAGTTGAAAATGAATAAATCAGAATTTTTTGATAAACCTATTAAAAACAATGATATGAAATGACTTTGAAATTAAATCCAATTAATTGAGTAAGGAACATATAAGCCAACGCTGATTATTATTTGCGAGTAATGTCTTCATAAATTTATTCAGGTTGAAACAATAAAAATCGAAACATTTATTTATACATTAGTCATGCAACAAATAAATTGATGAAGACATTACTCACAAATAATAACCAGCGTTGGCTTATATGCTCCTTACTCAATTAATTAAATCTATTGAAGTTCTAATTAAAATAATCAGAATTTTGATTAATATGATCAGAATTTTCTGCTTCATTAATTTTCAACCAGAAATTCGTCTCAGTAGTCTTATTCGGCAATTGATCCCTTTTTTTTTTTTATAAAGTATGGCGAATAATACTCGTCGTTCGAGAGTTGATTTATAGGATTATAACTAATCGTAGTTGCGGTAATGTGGTTCCGGAATAATTCATCTTCCTCACTTGACCTCATTTACAGAGATTAGCAAGTAATTAGGCGACTTGTGTAAGCGATTAGGCCAAAAGTGCTGTGCGGCTTGCATACGCGGTCAGTTCACGCTCTAATATTCGTAGAGCAAAATGGTAATTCTACTTTCGCGCAACCAAACCATTTCAACTGGTGAGGAACGATCGCGAAAACACGCGAGTGCGATTTCGTTATCGTTGAGTTCCAATTATACGTCCGTATCGTAATTAGAAGTCGGATTAGTTTTCGTGGGGCGGAGGCTTAATCAGAAGCTGATTAAACACGCGGTATGTGTTACGCCCCGGTTCAAGACGGATTTTACAATAATGCAGCTATCCACATCGCCACTATCGCCAGAGTAAACGGAATAATACGTACACAAGAACTGATTGTCCTGATCCTTGAATCATTGGTTTCGGAATCGGTGTTATCGATCCCGTGAGTTCATGCACTGACACATATTACACCAGTGTTAACACTTGAAAATCAAATCGATAAGCTCTTCTGGAATTTTCTCACGTAAGTTTGGAGCTACAGACGTCTTGCGATGTAAGTGAAAAAATTACTTCGTAAAGATATAAAGGTTTTCCTGAGCTTTCTTTAATTTCGTAACAGTAACATTAATGTCTAGCTTGTAATGCTAGCCGAAAAGTAAAGTCCTACATTTAAAACTCGTTAAACAAATAATAAAGCTAAATATTTCTTTTTATCAACTTGTTACTTTATTTTTGTTTAAAATATACCTAATAATATTGCATGTTTTACTTTCGTAAAATTTATAATTCACAACAAATTTTTTTATCTGTAAATAAAAAATTAACTGCACGAAGAGAGCAGAGGGGAAAACTGATCGTGAAATTTTGAATATAAGATTTATTTTTTATTCGTGCAAACTAGTTTACACTAGAACTCTCTTTATCGCTTTCACCAAATACCAAACGTGTATCTATTTCGCTTTAAGTTCGAAAAATGAATACTAGTTCAGCTGCAGAAAACAACTATTAAAAGAAATAAAAAATGCAAGTATTAAATTCACCTAATAATAAATTTTGCAACATGATTAACAAGCTATCGAATAAACTTGTAAAGAGATTTTTTTTTTCTTTTATGCTATTATATATTTGATGTATATTAGTACTGCAAAATTTACATATATTTTTTTCTCATTGTGTGTTCTGTAAAATATTCACAAAATAATAGAGATTGAGAACACGAAGAAGCATTTGCACGCGCAAATCGTGCGTAAAAACGGAGGATTCACGTGCGATCATTCGTAGTACACCCTTTAATACGCACCCTTAGGTTGCCGACCCTCAGAGGCACGTTAGATCAGTCGAGAAAAATTATTCCGCGTTCATCCACGTACGCGAGAAAAAAAAATTGCACATCACCGACAACAACAATATCGACGTCGACGACGACAGCGATGAATTTTCCATACTCGTCTGAATCGTTTGAAACTGGGTGATGACGCACACCCTTCATCTCTTAGGTCCCACATTCGTTGCCAAACAACCCGGCACCAGAACGGCGGCTGCCAGGAGCGGCATAAGAAGGAAGAAAATCCGAAGATGCTTTTATATATGTATTATTTTTTTATGATAGAAACCTTTTCGATATAGAACGATTAAAGAGGTGGATCTCTCTAATTCTTCAAAAAAGATTTTTTTATTTCTACAGAAACAGTTCCACTTTAAAAAGACAACTTCATTATTTTTGTTTTAGATAATTTTAGATCAAGGAAGTAAAGAAATATGTGAGAATAGGAAGTTTAAGATGCACGTTATTTCACCTTAAGCAGGGAAATGAATTCATTCCAACTTTACAAAAAAAAAAAAGTGAACTTTAAAAATATTTCGAAAAGAAATAATGTTGCAGCATTCCGCGTGGTTGATTGAAAATACGAACTTCAATTTCAGTTTTCGTTTGTATATGTATGTGTGTCCTTGATCGTATCGTAAATAAAGAAGAACTTGACAAAACATACACGACATACTATATAAGAATGAGAAACTGTTGGCAAAATATTTGTACAACTGTAATTTAAAACGATTGCCCAAGTATAAAGATATCAAAACGATCTCCTTTTTTAAAATAATATTTAATTTACCGTAAAATGAATAATCCATTTAATAATCATTTGGGTGTAACCAGTGTAGCAGTCCTTAAATTAAAATACGATAATATCAGATAATCGCTCTGAACTTTAATTATACTCAACTCATTGATTAAAAAAATGACAGGTATTAATTATAAGGCAAGTTTATATTATTAGATATCACAATGAGTTATTATTTAGCTGACCCTTCTTGAATCAATGTCATGCGAGTATACTATCGTGGCAATAATTCATTTCATGTCACGTACAAAAGGGCTTTTAATATATCTACGACAAAGTGTGGTAGCGTTGATCCCTTCAAAGGGCGACCGAAAGCACAACGCTGAAATTTTCGCGACGACCCTTGAAAAATTGAATTTTCGGAAAGTTTGAAGGAAAAAATTCCTCGGGTGTGTCCCCATGATTTATTCATAGTGCTCTAAAGTTCTAATGCCACGCGTAAACTCGCACGAAATGTATTCTCTTTTCAATATACACGAAAAAGAAAATTGAATCCATACGTGTCGACTTTCCCTGAATACGATCTAAGAAACGCCCAAGTATCAAAATTCTTAGCATGTCATAGACTTTGAACTCGATTAAAAACCTTTTCACTTTTCTTTTTTGATATTACGGATGTTGCTTTACAGAAAGGATGGTTTTACTAAAATATATAAAAATTTGGATAGGCTAACTCTCCGGTATATACGCACCCTCAAAAACTTAATTTTTTAAGTATTATTTACTATGTTTAAAGTAAACGAACTATATCAGTAAAACTTTAAAATATCAGTAAAAACTTTGGATCGTCTACTATTATGAAAAAAATATTAAAAATCTGAAATATTTGTATTAAAAGATGAACTTTTTTAAACTCTTGCATTTTTGCCATATATCCCATAGGAGCTACTCAGGAAGGAGGTGTATGTATGGCTCACGAAAAATTTACGAATAATGAATATGAATAAGGAAATGACACAATAATTTATAAAATGCGTTCATAAAATTTTATTAAGGAATAAGAATGATAAATATGTATATGAAGTAATAAAATAATAATTACAATCTTCCCACATGTATCACAAGTATTATAATATGAGGTACATATTTCATGTAATGCGTTTGTTGCATTTAGTGCACTGAATTCAATCTGCCCACTTTGTATGCTTAGGCATAAATCCCGCTAAAAATGCCGTATATCTCAAACAGATAAGAGACAATAAACTAAACAAAGAATACAAGAGCAAAGTACTTATATTTTATTATACAACATGGTTTACTATTTCTCTACACTCATGTATCACGAAATAACCATTAAATCTTTTGCATGTCCTACAGTAATCATTTTATGTAGATTATAATTTATGATGACGCTACTTAACACAGTGGTAAATTGATTCAACTCACAATAATTTTATTAATATTAACAGTAAGAAACTGAAATCATAACACTATACTAATGTAACATAAAGGCATGTAACAGAGTAGTTGCGGGAAAATTACCCCAACTCTTTCTATTTTTTCTGATTTCTGCAGCGTAAATACCAATGCGGCGTATTTACCGGAGTTACCCTATATATAGACCTAAAAACAATTTTGCTGAATCATCAAAATAATGTAGAACGCTCAAACTGATTGTTAGAATGTCAAAACTTTTTGCAGCATTGCTTGAAATTATTACGTAATTATTGATTATTCACATATAATAATAATAGATTATACGTATAATAGATAGTCCAACAAAATTATTTTCAGATTCAGCTAAATTTTTAGATACTTCAACAAAATCATTCATTTCGTATTGATATATCACAATAATTAAAATCGTATTATGCGACAATAAATTGTATTAGAACAATTAGTTGATTTTTTCATTACTAAATTTTTTTTTGTTATTTAAGAATCTTGAAGATATTTCTTTTGAATTTAGAAAGTGTATTGCATGCGTTAGAAATCTACACTGTTATTATTTGTTAAACACATTCTATAAGGAATCTTGTCTTCACGCGAAAAAAAACGTGCCTTATCGAATTAAAGCTGCAAAAAAATGATGGGATATTTACAAAGTGTGACAATCGTTAAATAATATCATCTGAATCAATAACTCGCAAAAAGATAATAGATAATAATAATTTACATTCAAAATA